TCTTCGAGACCATGGAACAGGACGGCGAGGGCGCCGCCGCACCGCGAGGCCGCCGGGCCTTCTCCTTCTGAGGGACCACGGAGGCCCCGCCCCTCGAGGCTCCGCCCGCAGCTGATTGGTCCAAGACTGGGCCCTGCCTGAGCAGAGCCAATCAGATTCTTCTTCGGGATTGGAAAGGCAGACTTGGAGACCCTAGGGCGGCAGTTTGACTTGCCTGTGGAGGAAGAAAGACCTGGGTTAGGAAACTGCCAATGTGAGGACAGAATTGAGCAAGTCTGCAGAGAAAAGAAGATGGCTGTGAGTCTCCTAAGTCATACAGAAGATAACTCTTTCAGTTTTGGAGGTTTTCTAGTTCGCGTTGCAATCCCTGAGGCCTTTGGATTCCCGTGAGCAACACTATTCTTACAATAAAGCCCCAACTAACGTTGACTGGAGTGGGTCTCACAGGTCCTGCAACCAAAAGAGCCGTGGCGAGAGCAGAGGGCGGAGCTGCGCAGTGAGCCGGTCAGGGGCGGGGCGGCCGTCTACCGCGTGCGCAGGACTCCTCCTGCCGGGCCAGCAGCCTTCCCGCAGGCCGCATCCTTGCTCAGCGTGGCCTGCGGGGCGCCCAGACAAGGAATGAAGCCCATCAGTGGAACCTTTGCTTGGCTTTCTGCTCTGGGAACCTAGCGGCCCACCCATCAGGAAATGCCGCCCCACCCCCCACTTTGAACCTTCCGCAAGAGAATGAAGAATACCGTGGAATTTTATGCTCTTGGAATCGCAGACACAGAATCTTAGATGTGGAATTTTATTGTCAAAGACTTAGACTCTGATTGCCACCAAATCTTAGAATGGCCAACCTGGATTTTTTTGTGGCCTTCCCTACAAAAACTACTTACCCTAAAATTCCAGATTAAGTTCTTGCCAGACTCCAGGAAAGCTAGTTGTACCTAACTGTAATGGCAAGACCCCCATAACGGTTTGTGATTTGTTTTGCATTTGTTCCTGTCTTTAAAGAGTTATACTCACTGCTTTGCTCATATCTCTGATCCTCAGATATTAACCAGTTATAGGCCAGTGCCCCTACATTGCTTCTCATGTCTCCAGTGACAGATGGAGAACAGACTGAGAGGTGCAGTCCTTAGAGATCACATACTCCAACCTCTCATTGTGCAGATGGGAAGACTGAGAACCCTTGAAGGAAGGTGGCTTGCCCAAGGTCACACTTCCTAGCCTCCCCCACTTTGTACCTCAGACTTGCTGTCAGCATTTTTCAGGATTGGAAAAATACTAATATACTTTATTAACACTAAAGCATTAAGTGTTTATGTGTCACCCGGGGCAGATATCCATTGGGTTAAAGCTCTAACACTCATGACAGTGTTGCAGGTACCTGTGAAGTCTGGTGAGGCCACCCGAAGTCCCCCGAATTCCACCTCATGGCTAATCATGGTTCACCCTTTTGGGTAGAGACAGTCTCTCCCCTTTCTTCCTCTTACCTCTGTTGTAACAGAGTCCAGGAGGTGGCTTGACAGCACCCACAGCCCTGTCCACTCCTCCCCCCATCTCTTCTCCACCCACGATGGGCACCATCTCCCTCTTCTCCTGCTTCTTCAGACAAACTGAATTCAAGGTGGTTTGCTGGCACAGTTGGGAAGTTGGTGAACTTTGCTTCCCAAGCTTCCTGGTTTGTTTCCTTCCTTGCTTTTATCTGTCCCCAAGATAATGCATTTCTCGTTCTATTGTCTCCTCCTCCTGTCAAACCTTTTCAATAAAACTTTCTTTCTAATAATCTCATTCACACTGCTCATATACATGACTAACAAACATCCACTGTAGCTTCTCTCAGGGTATCTGCATATTGAACAAAAGCCAAAAAGAGATAGGAAAGCCCATTTCCAGGACAGATGCTATGTGCTAGGCACTTCATACATGCAATTCTCCCAACAGCCCTGGGGAGTAACATTCTAATCCTCATTTTACAGATGAGGACACTGAGATACTGACCAAGGTCTCAGGTAAGTATGGGAAGAGCCAGAATTTGGACCAGATCTGCCCAGTTCTGTGCTGCCTCCTGGAGCATAGTTCTTCCTGGGAGGCGTGTCATCTGTGATGTAGAGTTGGGTCTGTGATGACCAAACTTGAACTGTCCCTTTGCTTGTCCCTTCCCCCAGTGCACTAGTCTCTCTATTCCCAAACTTCTTTTCCTTTGAGACTTTCTATATCCTATTCTTCCACTGGCTTTTTCCCTATGATTTCTATCCCAAGTGCTAGGCTCCTCCAGGAGGTCTTACCAAACCCTCTCAGCTCTCATTAATCACTCCCTTTTATGCATGGAGAGCTCTCAGGGTGTTGTGTTCTACTGTGTTATATTCTTTCTTCTTGGGTCATAATTGTGTCAACATATCTGTTGTCCACCCCTACCCCAACTCTGGATGCTTTATAGCAGGCACTATAACTGATTCAGCCTCAGGCCCTGTGCTGAGCTTGGCACACGACACAAGCTCAGTTTGGGTTGTTGAACTGAGTAAACTCACAGGAGTGATGTAGGTACCTCAGTCGCAAACAAGCGACTCTATCACCAGATCCACAGGGCTGACGCTGGGGCTAAGTCTACAGCCCAAGGCCCTTGAGGCCCAGAACTCAACCAGAAAGCATGAGCTTTCTTTCCTCCTCCTCTCCAGCCTTAGGCCAATTCTTCAATTCTGCAGCTGGGAAGCTGAGTCCCAGATTAGGAAACTGAGACAAGAGACCAGGGACTTGACCAAAGTCAAGCCATGAACTGATGACAGATTCAAACTTGAACTCTACTTCCAGACTTGTGGGCCAGTGTTCTCTGTCTGCCCTCTCGGGCTGCCTCCTTTGCCAAGTTTACTTCTATGAAGTCCAAGAGTACTGCAGGCCTTCCATTCCTTCATTCAACTAGTACCTACTGAGCACTAGTTGAGTGTCAAGCTCTGGGACTCCTGTGGAGAACAAAATAGACCTGCCCTTACCCTCAGGGAGCTCACAGGCTAGACCCTGCACAGCAGCTTATGCATGGCCTTGTGGGCTGCTGTGGAGACTAATGGGAAGCTGTGGAGGGTTTTAGCTGGCAGGGCTGGCTACCCTCCCCCTCCACACCAGTTATATGCATCCTATATTAGTGGACTTTTCCCAGCCCAGTGGGGAGGAGATAATGGCTGTCCCTGGGGCTCGGGACCTGGTCCTTGGCCACCCCTCTCCAGCAAGCCACTGCTGAGGCCAGACTTCTCAGTCCCCCAGGACTGTGGCTCTGGCTGGTTGGAGAGACCAGTGGGTGGCTGATTTTTATTTAATTATAATTTTGAGCCATGCAGAACACCCCTGCCCACTGGGCAGCTGGGAGAACAACTGTCTGTCACACAGCTGCAGCAGCAGGAGATCCTTAGGGGAGCACTACAGAGTAAAAGCCTTAATGACCCCATAATCGGAGTAATGAAGACAAATCACACCTCGTGCTGCCTGCCCACTCCTGCCTGTGCATCGAGCGGCCAACCTCAGGCAGCTAGAAACTCCTGCGTAGCCAGTGTGTGCAAGGCATGATAAAGGAAAGCAGGAGAGATTTTTTTCTATTCTAGGTTTCCAGAATCTCAGAGCTGGAAAGAACCTTAGTCAGCACCTCTTCCAGCCTCTCCATCTAAAGCAAGACTCATCTCAATAGTGATTGTTCTGAAAGGAAGGTCTAAGCCACTTGCACACCTCTGGCAGACAGGCAGCTTACTACCTCTTGAAGGAATCAATTCATTTTTCAGCCAGTCTAGCTTTTGAGTTGAAATCCTCTTTTCTGTTATCTTCTGATTCAACTTCAGATTCTGGGGCCACACAGAACAGACCCGAATAAGCATGGTGACCTTGAACAAGTTACTTCCCTCTGGCCCCCATTCTCTCTTTCTGTTGTGGCACCTATGACAGTGTTCAGAAGGTGGCTGGCGACTCCACCAACAGCCAGGCAGAGCCCTGACTTGGCTTCCAGCTGCCTGTGCCCAGCCTGGAGCCTGCACAGAGTGGTGCTAGCAGCCAAAAGCAGAACAGAACAGAACAGAACAGAACAGAACAGAACAGAACAGGGCTCTCCTGTCCCTAATCAGGCCACAAGGGAGCAGCACCCTGTGTGGATGATGGTGGCTGGATGCCAAATGAAGTGAAATATCTCCTTTGCTCAGGCTGTTAACTTTTTTTCTTGTTTAAGGAAGGGGAGGATAATGACATTTAGCACTTTACAACTCAGCACTAAAATGAGCAGATGGAAAGAGATCCCCAGCATGGCAGGCATGCTTCCAGTGAGAAACCCTCCGTGGCTCTGTGGGGCTGAAATCACTGGCAAGGCATGCTGATGGGGCTAGGACACAGCCAGCTGCTCCCCACAGGCAGCCACTCCAGGCTGCACAGGCCCTACCTGCCCTCACTTCCCACTTCCTGCCTCTGCTTACCCTATTCCACCTGCCTGGAGCACCGTTCCTACCTCCCAGGTCTGCTTGGAATAAGACCTCCCTAATTTTGATGAGAGGAGAAGATGTTCTTGGCATGCAGTGGTGAGCAAAAACTGTGGAACTGTGTGCAGAAAAGCTTCAGCTGGCCTCTAGGTGGCCACATAAGAACAATTTGACTGAGCAGGGAAGTTTCCTGCAGGGAGGGCAAAGAAAATCATCATCATCATCACCATCATAACAATTTACTGAGAAGTTGCCATGGGCCAGTCACACACCTTACCTCACTTAACCCTCAGAAGCCCATAAGCTATGTATTCAGCACTGTCTCCATTTTACAGATGAGGAAACTAAGGCTTGGAGAGGTTCAATAACTTGCCTGAGGTCTCCACACTGCCTTGAAATGGCAGGCAGGCTAAAGAGTACTAATGAATGCCTTTTTAACTATTTGGGGTTTAGATTACTTTCTCTTCTATCACATATGTTGCTGTATAAACTGAACACTTAAAAAATCTGAATGTATTTTTCATGTTTATGTTTTCAAACCCGGCAATAGCTCTGTGGTGGGCCTTGTTCAATTTTGGCATGTAAATTGTTTCATTAAACTACAGCTCCTCTGTGAGTTTTATTTGTCATCTACAAAGTAAAAGAAACAAACAAAAGTACCTCTTTATTTATGGTGGAGATCTAGTGTTTCATCTGCCCAGGGGCCCTGCTACTGGGAATAGTACACCTCTTCTTCCTGGGCTAAGATTTGCTCCTTCCCCGCTCTGCATAGAAGGGGAGGGCTGCCTGTCATGATACCCCATGCCCAGACCACAAGAGCTGGCATATGACCGAAGTTGGGCCAATCAGAGTCCTTCCCAGAGAGTTTTCCAACTGGGTGCACCTGCCACTTTCCACCCAACTGGAAGCACTGGGTAGTTGATGCCGCCAAGAGCAGCCTTCAACTAATGGGGAATGGAAATTGGAGAAGAACCCAGCCTCACGGGGGTCGGGAGGGGGAGATAGGATCATTCTGAGGCAGAGTCCACATTCTCTCTGAGGTCTGAGACTGAGGCCGGTTGCCTCAGCAGTAACCTGCTTCTTCATTATCACACCCTGTATCATCCCCTGCCCTTCCCTCTCTCATTTTCCCACTCCTCTACTCATGTTTCCTGGGAGCACCTCCCAAATAAACTGCTTGCCTTAGAATCCTTGATTCAGGATCTGCTTCTGGGGGAGCCCAGATTTAGACACCTTGAGGTCCTCCTTTATCACAACAGGAGGACTCCACCACCTCAATACTCCCTGGGCACTTTTTTTGTACTTCTAATACAATACATCATGGTCTATCTTGTATTTATTAGGTCTGAGGGAAAAGTGAAGATAGGAAACATACCAAATTGAGTCACTTAACCAAGCTGCTAAAATTGTTAACATTATGAAGGCTAATGCATGAGGAAACTATCCTATTCTTGTTCTAACTAGCCTGGGAACTTAAACTTTTTGGACTTTCCAGTCCTGTGTCCAATGCCTGGATATACATCTGGACACATATCAGACCTCCAGATAAACCTCTGAATTACCCCCTGAAGGACCGACTCATGTATCCAGACCACCTGAAACCCATTTCCAGATGCCTGACATCTCACTGATAACCATCCTGGACCAACCTTAGGGCTAAGAATGCAGGACACATAATTCTCAAGAATGTACTTTTTACTGAAAGAACTCTTAACTTTTCTTTCTTCTTCAGAACACATCTGGGCTTTTGCCTAGCTGTGTTCATAGTTTGCAAATTCTAAGACCCTTGAATAAATCTTTCTCATTTATTTCTAGCAAAAGCCTTCAGACTCTTTTTTAGTTCATTTGACAAGTATAAAATAGAAAGGATTATGCATTTATTGAGTACCAGCTGTGCACCAGGCACCGTACCAAGTGTCTTGTGCTCATTCATCCATTTATTCACTAATTAATTCAACAAATATTTATTTAGCATTTACAGTGTGGCAGGCAATGATCTAAGGCAGGGGTTGGCAAACTGTGACCCAGGGGCCAAATTCAGCCTGCCACCTGTTTTTGTAAATAAAGTTTTATTGGAA